CCGGTAAAAAATTTGTGTGACCACTTTCGGCGGCGGCTGCACCATGCGGCCGTTTTTTCTCGAATGCCCAAGGCCTGGCCTGCAATTATTTCCAGCGCTCTTTGCCAAGAAGGATCCCAGCAGGGTCGCCAATCCTCGCCGATTTGCAAAAGTGAATGATTCACCAGAGGCGAACGAACAATAATTGGAAATTGGCTCACGTATAATCCGACGTGGTGCGAGGATAATATTTGATTGGTAGCAAAAAGGCTGCAAAAATATGCAATTTGAGCAAGATGGAAAACTTGTTAATTAAAAGCATTGCAAATGCGATTCGCGGTATTAAATAAATTAAAAAATTTTAGTATTTCTGGTGGGAAAAATTAAAAAAAAAAGTCATTCTAAATCATTCTAAAGCATCCCTAAATGTAAACGTATGAGAAAAAAAGGAAAAAATTGTTTTAAATCTTTTAAATTTTTTATTAGGAATTATTTATTCTTATATTTCAAAGAAAAGCAGATTTTATTAACTCTTTTTTACCCCATTTGGTATTATTTCAGCTTGAGGAATTCGATCGATTGGTGTTGTTGTTTGTTATACCGGTTGGTGTAACCCGATCCGAGTTTGAAAAGGAGAAAAGAGCCGAGCTTTTCGCCGCAATTATAATTTTGTCAACAGCTTGTTTCGGAGGATTCAGGGTCTGGCCGGCCGACCCGCCTGAACCTGACCGGTCGGCGCGCGGTGCGATCGTCCAGGTGGGGCCAATAACGCCTCACTGCACTTGTTGCCGCTTTACACGCACGTTGATGGGCACCACCAGCATTAAATTATGAAACAAGACTTCTGATTATTATTACATACAGCAGCCGCCCGGCGTTTTTTCGCCTCGGACGTCGTCATGACTGAATTACGTACCGTAAACACGGGTTGTGCTGTCAACGGCTCTCGGGGTAACTTGAAACACCTTCACCTTTTTTGCGCTCTCTCGACCTGTCACTTACCGCGAGAGCGGAATTCGCAGACTACGGCGGCGATCGCGGATATTTAGAGCTGTGAGAAAATGAACTGGTTTTTGCTTTTTGAATAAATTTCCGATTGAAATTTCGGAATTTGATCTTTCTCTGGAATCGCAGGTTTGTGCTTTTGGAGGGAGAAAAGAAGATGGTGCACGCCGTGGAAAAAGCATCAATGAAATGAAACAAGTCTGCTTATCCATTGTTGGTGGATAATGACGGATTTCGCTGCGGAATTTTTAATGGCCACTGCGCGAGAGCGGCGCATTGTGTTGAAAAATGCTGCCCGCTCCTTTCATTCTTGGCGTCTAATAACACTTGCTCGCTGCTTTTTATCCGTAATGATGAGTCACATTATTAGGAGATGCAGTTGGCAGCAAAAAAGGCGAAAAACTCGGTAGGTACTCCTCTGGCCATTTTTTGTTTTTCTCAGGGCCCGACCGACCGACAAGAAGCGATGAGAATCCCAGAGTAGCGTTTTGCTCTATTATCTCTTTATTATTATTTTTCAAAGCCCGGTAGCTGCTCGGCATCATCATCATCAGCATCACGGTCATCAAGGATGTGCTCAGGGCTCCCACAGCGTCTCTCTCAACTGCCCGAAATTTTGAACCATGGGGCGCATTTTTTAATAATTCATAAATAAAATTTAAAATTTTATCAAAATATAAATGATTCAGGGATTTTAATACAAATATTTAAAAATAAAGGTTCCTGGAGCGGATTTATATTCACACGCTGGTGAACAATTGTGAAAAAAATTCTTACTAGTGTCTAACAATCCAATGTTTTTGCCAGAGATCTTATTCACCTGTTAATCAATTTAGGAAAAAAAATTGCAATACTTGAAATAAACAACAAAAAATAATTCATTACAGAATTTAGAAAATCATGATCAAACTGTAGCATAAGCGATTTCATGAAAATTTATAGAGAGTTTTATAATTTGTTTTTCTTTTTATAATAAATTTCATAAATATGTATATATATATACAATACATTTCGATTTGACAAATAATGGCAGAATGAGTTTTAATCTATTAATATTTTGCATACTTCTTACTGGCTTACATAGCAGAGTCAAATCAAGGCTACATCAATAGGAGTTATAATGTCAATAAAAGGAGTCCTTAATTATGGCGTTTGATCAGCTGGAGAATTTAATGTTCTGAAAATCAGTAATAAATTAATTTGCTGGGATAAATTATTATTTCAGTTGCCTATATCACACACAAAGAATATGGACTTAAAAAAAGAGGGAAAAAATTGAAACAGTGAAATTTAAATTAAAAAATTTCTTCTTAAATTTAGGAAGTTAAAATTTAGTGTAAATGAAAATTGACCAGTTATGAATAAAAAATTGAATAAAAAAAATTGCACTTATTGTTCTTTAGAAACCAATAAGTGCCATAAAATTGAATAATTTTTTTTTAATGCTCAGGACTTGGGAAATAAATATAATTAAAACCGCAATACAAAAAAAAAAAAAAAAAAAAAAAAATTAATAATTTCATGAACCAATATTTCGTTTTAATTCTTTAATAATTTGATAATTATTTGAATTTGTTAATAATTTGCGAAATTATTGGCAACAACTGATTTCATGCAAATTTGCACATTTCAGACGCCTTTTCAAGTCGGTAACAGAGCAAAGGAGTCAATCACCGGCGAAAATTGAAGTCGATTTATTATCCACCAGTGGCATGATGGACAATCGATATGAAATTTTCCGCCACGAAGGCAAAAGCCATCGCGAGAATGGCGTAGAAAAATGATTATTAGCGCGCGGCGGAAATTGGAATTTGATTAGCAGAGCATGATGGAAATTAGGAAGTAATATATAATTCCATCTTTCTCGATATAATAAAGCGTGTGTCGCTCGAGTGAGCAGACTAAATGTCTCTTCTTGCTCACAGGCACCCACACAATTCGAAAAATCACGCTCGACCAGTATGCTTGTTTTTTTTCCATCTCTGCTGGCTGTCAAAATAAACCCATCCATCCAGAGAATATGATTGCTCATCATAATTACAAAAAATATAATTGGCTGTGTATAAGTTGATTAAAATAGTTTCTCGTGAGAGAGGAGGGATTGAATAAAAGACTCGTCGTCGCACCTGCAGCACCGAAACCAATAGCTCGCCATATTATTATTATTATTCTCCTTATTACCGCTTGCATTGTGTTTTAGACAGCACGTCGACGATCGCCACTGGAATTTAGCTTCTTTTGTTGGAAAATTTATAATTCGTTCAAAATTGCACTTGCCGCTGTGTGTGTGCCACCTCTAGGTCCTCCACCTCTTTTTTTGTGTCTGCCGAAAGTGATGGGAGAGACCAGAAAATAACCAACAGTTAAAAAGTGAGAAGACCAACCTATAATCCAATTCTTTTGAATGAAACCATTAAATAAAAAAAAAATTATTTCAATGAAATTTAATTGGTTTTTTTCTTTTTTTTAATTCATATAGTTTTTTTTGCACGATCTCTCAATAAAAGTGGAAAATTTTAAATATTTTTTTTGGTCATAATATCGCCATTTGATTAAATTATTGTTTTACTCTCTTTTTCTAACAGCAGCAGCAAAACTGATTAAAATTAACATTCCAAGTTCAAATCGAATCAAAAGCCAAAATGAAGTTCAAGTTTATAAACCTCAAGAAGGTAATTATATTTTTATTCCGCAGCCGAGGAATTCCAATTTTCCTCGCCGACAGAGACGGCAATTGTGATTTAGAATCCAGAGCCAAACTCAATCATACACAAAGCTTTAATTCTTCCTCGAATGTTTAAAATGATAATTTTCCCGGGCCGTTTGCGGTTGGGAGGCAATTTCATTTTTCATCACGCGGCCTTCAATTCTCATTTATTTCAAAATCGCTCTCTGCACGCTTCTAATTGATCCAAATTGCGCCCTTGGATGGGAAAAAAGGCCGCGCGCGTTATGTACCATAATGACACGTCCGGTAAGGTCTCGAGTCTCGACGAATTCATAATTCCCCCGAGACGAAGAAATGAGGTTTTTTTTTTACTCGGTTATTATTTTGTTTTATTATATTGTGTGTGTATCGAAAAGGTTTTTATGCTCGTCGTCTCCAACTGTCTGACGAAGCGTAATTATGTTTTATCCTTCCCCGGCGAGAGAAGATGCTCATTTCGTCGGTAAATAAAATTACATAAATGAAGAAAAAAAGAGTACTTTGTTGACAAAAAAATTCAAATTAAAAATCATGCTTTTACTTGTGGATAAAAAAATAACTTTGAAACTTTGGTACTACAATTTCACAGAACTGTATAAAATTTTGTCGTTTTATAATTTCTGTAACAATTATAAATTTAATTATTTTTTACTTACCTTGTGCTGCTCCACACAGGTCTTGCCGTATTTTATGCACTTGAGAAATGGAAAGAATGAAAAAAAAAACACCGCGATTTCCATTGAAACTCCATAATATTCATCATCAAAGTCCAAACGATGCACATAAAAACATCTCTCGCGTTCATATCTGACCGAGCAGAGTGTCCAACTGATCCTGCTCATCCTGCACCACAAAGTCAAACAATATTTTATTTTACAAATTCTCTAAAAGTCTAAAAGCTCGTGTTCGTGTTCTGTTCTGTATTGTAGTGGAAGAAGTCACTGGAATGAAAAATGAAAACGCGCCAAAGCTGTACATTCCAGATAATGTGCAAAATAAGAAATCCTTTATATCACGTGTCTCGACTTGTCTCAACTCGTTTCGACTGATCACCTCATCAGCGCCACCTATGCTGTTTTTCAAAAAGAAGGAGGAGGTGAGGAGTGTTCAGAAAGGAGTGACACTACGTTGATTTAAAAACATAAAACATTGTTAATATTGAAATAATATTTGCTTTAAACAATTTTTTTCCCAAATATTCTTTGTAAAGGTTCAGTTTTGTTCAGTTTTCTTAATTTGAAAGTGATTTTTAGAGTTAAGGGACATAAAGTGTCAATACTTGGTGCACCTCCTTTGTCAAATCCCTAATGGAATTTTGGACTTTTTGGAGGCAAAACGGCAAAAGGCAGCTGACCACTCTGACCAGCGGCGTGCACCGGTGTTGTGCGAATTTCTGTCGAATTTTCAAATTCAACGGTGCTGCAAGGACATTCTTCGGCATCAGCGTCAAGTTTTTATACATATTATTATTTCTTACATTAATTGTAATTTGCCAAAAAATTATTTTACAGAGGCGCCGCAGAGGCGGTGTGGAATCTGCAAAGATCCGACTTTCCAATCTTGGCCCACAACGATTTTGTTCAGCTCGAGCTTGGTGAGAGAAAATTTGCAAATTTTCCATCGTTTTTCATTGCCTGTGAAGGAACGAGAGATCGTTTTTAATTAAATCAACATGGTTATTTAAGTTAATTTCAATTTTCACAGAATTTACGCATTCTACTTTCATACAGGCAGGTGCTGCAGGGCTTCAAGTTTTTATACAAATAATTATTAACTATTATTGTAATTTGCCAAATTATTTTGTAGAAGCGGTGTGGATTGTGGATTCTGCAACGATCTGATGCGAGTTGCAGATGCAGATTCGCCCTTTGACTTTCCAAGATGGACAATGTACGCACAACAATTTTGTTCAGCTCAAGCTAGGTGAGAGAAAATTTTCAGCAAAGTTTCCAGCGTTTTTCATAACATAATAAGAAACGAGAGATCGTGTAGGTACAAATCAGTAAGGTTATTTTCAATTTTCACGGAATTTACGCATTATCTACTTTCATCCAAGCTGTAATTATTCACAGTTGATGTCGCACAAAGTCCCACAAATTGGAATGAATCGGAGTGAAACTAAAGCAGTATAACGCGTAGCGATGTACAAATGAGTACAATGTACGCTTTACTTTACAATAATGAATGCATCAAGTGCAATTTATTCCGCTGAGGAAAATGAATGCTCGTGGGGAGTATAAAGAGCACAAGAAATTATATATGGATGTGTTTCCTTGTCATAGTGCGGTGAGCAGAAATGCATGCAGTGTGTGCATATTGCTCTCTCGTGTTCTCTGCAAATGAATGCACGATTCGAATAAAACGCTAGTATGAAGTACGTATCTCACGATAACAATAATAATAATCTTGAGCACAATTATCAACCGCATTGCATGCTCTTATAAGTTGAGAAGATACTCGTTGTTTACATGAGAGATTCAACAATAATGGGAAATATGGCAGGATTTTAATATTCATTAAAATTTTCTGTTCTTCTTGGTGATATGAAATTTGGAGGGAAATAAATTGAAAATATAGAACTGCACTTAAAACCAGGATAAAAAATAAATTATCTAATAGATCTTTGGATTTTCAACATTTGCCCTTGCCTTTTCTTCTTCATATTCAAAGAGAGAAAATATAAGTGAGGCGAGTGTGATAAAAATGAAAATTGGTACTCCTTATTCCTTATAAGCATGAAGTAAAATCATTGCAACATTAGGAGCCATTTTTGGCAATCAATAGACAATATTAATTGGAAATTTGAACGCAATGGTTGTACAGGGTTTAATTGACTACATCAACAAGGAATCGTTATAAAAAAAAATTAGAAATATGAAATTTACTTCTTTATTTTCATATTAAATAAATTAATTTGTAATGAAAATTATTGATTATATTTAGCCAAAATATTATTCAGTCCGCAGGTTATCACGTTAAGAAAAACTGAATTAGAGGTTGAGGTTGCTCTCCTCTGTGTTAATACATTATACTTAGGAAATTCATTTTTTTTAAACATAAATTTGAGCCTTCAACTCATAAATTTTGGACTAAACTTGTAAAAATCTGATCTTTCAAAATCCGCACTTGTGAAGGTGGCTGCAGATACGGTTGGGTTGTTCGGATATTATTTGAGCGTGCAAAGCCTGTTTACACATCAGAGCCACGCATATATGCTGCTGGATATGGTTGACATTTTCATTTAAAATGGCAGGAAATTAGATTTTGAGAATATGACCTTAATTTCCTCCGTTCTATTTTATGCACGCGAGCGGCGAAAAGATCACCCCTGTTGTGTGTACCATAAATTTCATCTCCCACCGTCCACTGCCCATATCTCTTTCCGAGCGTAAAAAAGCATTTATACATTTGCAGTCTGACCAAACGAAAATTGAATCGATCGCAAGTACAAATCTCAAACGCCACAAACAGGCCTGAAGAGAAACGTCGGCATGAAATCAACGCGCTAATTTGCCTATTAAAGTGATCTGCAGACCGACTTCGCTGAAACCATCGCACGCTAATAATGCGCGCAGGGCTAATTTAAAAGGTTAACAGTACATGAACCGCCACGAATATCATTATGAATGGAGAGTTGGTTATAATGCATCAAGCACTAGGGGCAATGATATCAAAATAAATTAGCCGGATTCGTCGGCAAGAGAGATAATTTCATACTTGAGTCGCGCTGGCTCACATAATTAAGTGGGTGCTTTTGACTTTGTGTGTTTTCCTTCGGCCGCTCTGCAAACAAGGCATGACGGGGATAATTGCGTTTGCTCATTGTTTTCGCGGTGAGCAGTGACATTTGGGCAACGCACTTGACGCACAAAGACACAGCCGGTGCAGCGAGGAAACTTGACCGAAATAATTATGCGGTCATGGGAAGTTAATTTATTGTAACGTGGGTTTCAAGTTGCGCACAATTATAATAAAAGCCAAAAGAAAATAAAGCAGCCCTTCTTCGTATTAAGGAATCCAATACAATTAAATGAGAAGAAGGAGACTCAGGATGGGGCCACCTGTATAATTTAATTAGAAGTGAATGCACAAACCAGGGCATGCAGTTTTTCTTTATTTTTTATTTATTTATTTTTTTTTTTGATAACTTGTCAATATATCCAGAGTAAACTCATTTTTAAAATGAAGGGGAGTAATTTTGAGACAATTAGCAGGGTTGAACGAGAATAAAAAATAAAAATATTCTGTAAATAATCTTAAGAAGAGAAGAAGGTAAAAATTTAAAAGTTAATTAAGTTAGATTTGAGTTACTTTTCTTATTTTCATCATTGTAAATTTGATTTTCTATGCTAATTTTAGAAAGAAAATATTTAATTGCAAAGTGGCTGTTTTACAAAATATTGATAGATGCTCCTTTTTATTATGTTAACTAATTTCAATGACGTGCTAAATTATCCTGCACCAGAATGATCATTGCATTAGGATCACCCTATTTAATAATTTTTAATTTTTAAACTTGTGTAATTTTGTAATTTTTTAAATTTTTTGTTAGCACATATAATAATCACAAGAGTTAGGTCTTTCATGAATACTATGGATATTTATATTATTTTTTACCGTTCTAGATAATTCTATTAATATTATAACCGCTTCTTTTGCCGCGCTTTTATTCAAGGATGTGAGACACAATTACACGTGAGTTTATCCGTCTGTTCCTTTTTGACCAACAGACGGCCTCGTCTCTTGCTATCAAAGATTGCTCATTTTGCAAGGCAACGTTTTATTTTTTTGCCTGCTAAAAGTCACTTTTGATTAAGTGGGCAGGTTAGTACTGGGCCGTCGCTAGTTCCTCCAAATGTATATTATGCCGCGAGAAAAGACGAGCCGGCATTCACGTCGGATTTAATTTGGGTGTATTTAAAATAAAGCGGAATGAATAATCGGCGACATAAGGGACGCGCATCGGGCAGGCGAGAATTATACTGCCCATTTGTGATATTGATTTGTGAGCCTTAAGGAGCTTATTAGTCGCGAATGAATAAAGTATCACTGTTGGCAAACACGAGCCCAGAGTAAAGGACGTTTTGCAAACGACATTCCGCCGCGATTTTTCTTCTTCAGTTTCCCGCATTTAATTTTCATCTCAATCGCAGTTTTATTGCTCAATTTCTCAACGCAAATTAAGATTTTGTCTGCCAGTCGATACTTTGCCTTTATACCCCTCCGAATGAGAGGCTCATGCCCGTAAATCACAACCTTTTTTCTCTTCTCTCTCCAGCAGAGCGGATTTTGCATTTTACTGCCGAAAATTTACCTCGGTATTTACAGTTCTGTCGTTTTGCTTGTTTTGTAATAAATGCGCGAGCATGCTCCGAGAAATTCAAATGAGCTTTTAATAAGCTTTTGTTTTTGTTGAACGTCGGCGTTCTTTTTTTTATTCACAACGGCCGGAAATAAATTAGTACTTCATTTGTAATATTAAAAGCGGAGAAATTAAGAATGACAAGGTAGAGGGAACAGCACATCACTTCAACGGCGAATTTCTCTGACGTTGCGTGCGTCGGGAAGACACGCTTCAAGAATCGTTTCCTCCACCTCGGGATTAATAATAAACAACGACGGGCACAATAACCAAAGCTCATGAGAAAAATAAACCCAGGAAAACTTATTTGATTGTGTGTGTGAAAATTCCACGTGCAGCGTCAAAAAATTTGAAAACGCGATCGACCAGGGAAAAATAATATAATAATTTTCCACACCAAATCTGGGGATGGGCGGAAGCGTTGCGCCTTCATCTGATAAGGAATTGGAGACGTTAACCTCCTGGAACTATCGCGGCCGCCAATCTAGACTTTCAACGCCTGGCGTCAGTTTCACACTTGTTAAATTTAATTAGTTCCCTCCTTGCTCATACCTACTTCCAAATTAAGATGCAATTAATTAAAATTTTACCCGCCCACCAATTTGTTTCTGCCAAAACATACAACTAGTGAAATATATTTCTCTTCCTTATTATGGACTTGTTCCATGTTAAAATTCAACGTAGCTTTAAATTTTACGAAATAAAAATAAATAATAAATTAATTGATTAAATTTACATTGCTTTGCATGATTTTTGCATTTTTAATTAATGATCGTTTTATTTATAATTATTTTAAGAAAATATTAAATCCATTTCATTGTAATTTCTTCCTAAACATATTTTTTCAATTTCAGAAGAAATCTTTATTTTTAATTTTGAATATTACTTCAAAAATATCTATTTCCCATACCTCTATTGATTTTTATGATTCATTCTGACATTATATAAACAAATATTTTTATATTTATTAAATTATTGCGCACTATGCTCTCTTCTGAAAAATACTTAATAATGAACTCTATTTTTCAAAAAGAAATCAACCAATGCTTTGATAATCATAGAGTGAAATTTCGTTTAGTCATTTTATACTGACGGGGAAAGGAATTGACCAATTTAAAAACAAAGTTAAAAATCAAAACCATTAGCTGGCCACTTTTAGCTTCTTGGTCGCTGCGCGGTTCATAATGTCAAAGTAAAAGGTCTCTTTGTTTTAGCAGCTCGGGCATAAGTCTCTCCGTGCCAAATCCGAGTTTTCAATTAAGGAACAGGAATTTTCAATTAGAAGGGCTCATTGTGCGGCGCGACTTTTGGAGAATGTCTCGGAGAGAGCAGCGCACACATGCAAATACATACTCTTCTCTCTGCGCCTATCTGTTGTGTGTTATATACGGATTGTGGATCGGCGGTGGTGGTTTTCGGATGGCAGAAGGCGCAATCCCCGGTGTAATGAATGTTAATTTATTCACGCGGCACTATATTGTTCTTAAACACTCTGCCGGCCTCTCTTATCTGCGCCTAAATAAAAGAGACACTCACTCTCGCCGAGAATCTCTCGCGCGAC